ATTTTCCGGCTTCCATCTCCAACTCTTATTAAAAGCCATTATTTTAATTTACTACATGAAATAAACAATGATACAAATTGAAAAGCCTTTATTAGAAGAGATTCTGCAAGAAGCAGCTGCTTCTATGACTGGCTCTGTGCCATCCAGATGTGCCCTGCACGGTTAGCATGTTAATCCCACTTCCTAAGTGCTTTTTCATACACAGTAATGGAAGCACATTGTCGCATGCTGTCACATATGCTGCATATAAGTAAATCAAATGCTAAATGGCACGGAATTCATGTTACTGTCGTCCTATTAATGTTGTACAGCATCATGAAAGTATAGCGTCTATTAATGGACTCATTTCACGATAGCTTCATTCATTTTCACACCACAGCAGACAGATAAATATAAGAAAAAAATCAGATTATGTTTATAGGATCTGTTATAAAGAATTGTTTAACCAAGATTTGAACTCCATTAAATGCACTTCCGAGCCACGGCTAATAGCGGAGTACAGAGATTAGTCACTGGGAGCTGCAGTAACTGATGCTTACAGCGTGTTGCATGTTACAATTAAGCAGAATTAGTTGCAGCTAGTTGCACTTATGTTGTATTGTTGCCACATTTAGTGAGTATGGAAGTCCACCTTATATGTGTGTTTTGAGTGCATGGCTATACCTATGATATTCATTTGAGAAAACAATTAAATAAATAAGGCCACCCCCTAGCCTATTACTTCATTCAGGAAAAAGAAGCCCGCCAACCAACATTACATTGCACAAAACAAAATCAGGATTACAGACATCAGACATGATATGACTTTTATGTAAGGCTTCCACAGAAGGGGTAATGTGTTCCATCAGCTTATATCCATCAGTAATATATGGGTGTTTGGTATCTAAGTAATTGGTACTTCCTTATACATTTGGGTAAACACGTGTTATGATCATTGTATAGATTTTGGTTTTAGTAGTGAACAAGAGGCAGACTGAAATGCGCATTGAGTTAACTGCTCTGCTAATATATTTATGGCCTACACTAAGAGCCTCTCAAGAGGTCCTATGTCATGGGTTAGGTCTGTTTCTTGGTACTTTGTACTGTGCTAAGCAGCTTTCAACTTTGTTCTGGAAACACAAGGTGGCACAGTGGCCATTCAGAAAATGCCTAGTATTTTTTTTTATCAATGAATACAAGGTGTTCTCTGTTTGGACAAGGGGCAGATCATGACATCACTGCCCTTAGTCCAATCAGAGAACATCTTGTATTTATTAATTGAAATAGTAGACATTCTCTGAGCGAGTGACCCCCTGTGTTGTCAGAGCAGAGGGGAAGCCACACAGCACCGTGCCATACAGGACTAGGAAGATTGCTGTAAAACTCTTTAGTAGCTCCTTCTACTACAGTGCTTTACAGGATCCCCATAGGCCAACTATGTAAGAGGGTCAATCAAAAAGCATACATTAGTGGGGTAAGTACACCTCTATAACATTTACAGTCACTCTAATAGATCTCAAATTACAGACATGGAGGCATTCATTTATGATTGACTATCATATAAAATATGCATACTCACATTGGGCCAAGCTGGACTAATGTAAGGAACCATAACATTTATAACTGGAGTTCAGTTTTAAATCTAGGTATCTTATGCTGGCTTATGCATATTGGAGGAAAAGAAGGTGCTCTGTGTTCAGTACAATACCCTCACTATGGGGTAATTCAGAACTCATTATTGTCACACCCTTAGGGGTCTATTCACAAAGCTGCCAAAGGATCTGGCCGTAGCTTCGTCACGAAGTAGTGAAAACAGAGGATGGACATCACAGCCACAGAACAAGCATCACCCATATTTATTCTCAGGATTACTTCAATTAGCCGGTAGCTACAGAAGACTGAAATAACGATTTTGGGTAGAGCTGGCTTATGTCTTGTACTCTAATTACCCACCCTGAAATATAGAGAGGATAAACAACACTGGCCTCCCTCCTAGATGGATTCCCTTCTTTTCTTCTCTCTGGAGCTATTGGGAATCAGCATCCAAGGTCAGTCAGGTGTGAAATTAAGTACATTTGAATAGTTTTGTTTATTTACATCTAAGTGATACTGTATGTTGGGTTAGTGTCAGTTCATCGAGCCGTAGTGGAAGGCCCAGGGCGCAATAAATGTTACTTGGGAATGTGATTTTACAATTACTTACAATGGAAGGCACATTGCCATTTTTTAAATACAATGTATGCAGAAAAAGGATTTTACTGTGTCATTTTAATATATTTAAACACTGTTAATGCATGAATAACTGAACCTTTCCCCTAAATATACAAAATATTGACTCTATATATGCATACATTCCATTCTGACCTAAGCAAAATCTTTCTATGATAAAAAAACAAAAAACAATCAAACAATATTTGTCTATTATTAGACCATTTATCTGCTATGAATTTAAAAACACATCGGATTGTGTTTTATAAGAATCGGATTCTGGTTTGTAATTCTTGTTCTTCTATTTTTTTATTAAAGCGTGTTAAAACCCAAGAACAAAAATGCTATATATTACAGCTTACCAGTCCTTAGATGTGCTGGCTGCATTTGTTTTCCTTTTTCAGGCTTTTATAGTTTCACCTGTTGATCCGGTTAGTAACACACTTCCTTTCCCAGCGGGAAAATGCTCACTCACTGTACTGTATCTATAGGGTAGTAGTGTTGTCACCCTAAGTCAGGAAGTATGTTGGGTATACAATGCCAGGTGGGGAGATGTGTATGGCCCTTACACAGAAAAATTGTTACCGAGTGCCGAGCCGAGGGCAGTGACAGCGGTGCAGAATACACTGGCTCTCCACCTGATGCAGGTATGTTAGCTGACCAGCTGTTGTCTCATTTCTAAACTCACAGGGCGGGAAACTTGTACTGGTTATGCAATTGGGGGCGGTAATGGATGTGTTTTTAAAGGTCACTGGTTTGTATATATGTAGGTTTGGGTTGCACAGTGTGTTATTCTGAGCCTGATGACGGGGACCCAACGTGGCCCCGAAAGTACTTGTGATTTTGAATGACCGTTGTCATTAAAATTGATTGCATCTAATCTTGGAGTGCTGGTGACATCTTTTGGAATTCTCTTTGGCCCTTACACAGCTCGCCACCCAGCTTTTAGCAACCTGGGATGCTCTGGCCGGCATCCCCCCCACTCCCAGCTACTGGCAATCAGTTGCCAGGAGCTGGGTGGGACACCAGGGGTGCAATTTGTTGTAGATACACCTCTGGGGAGACAGGCATTTTTTATGCAATTATCAAACAGATACTATAACAAAATGTTTTCAATTGAAAAGAGTGAGCAAATAAAAGAAGTTAGTTGTTAGCGTTTCATGCATTTTAATATAGTTTGCTGTAACGTCTCCTGGATATTTATAGAAAAGAAGGCGACTACAAGATAGTATCAACTAATTCTTGATACATTGTGGCATTCCAAATTTCCTGGTAAACATTAAAAAAACCCTACAAATCTATTTTTTAATATAAGGTTTAATTGTTATGTAGAATTACAATATTTTTGATATTTCCACTGTCAAAATAAGATACTAGCAAGTTCTACACTGCTAGCAGCCAAGGCAGTATTTACCATAAGACTCATGTGGGCAGAGAGAGTGTGCCAAGATTTAGAAATTAAGAAAATTGTACCAACTTTTCCCTAATTTTGCTTCCGAATTCGAGGAGGAGGGAGCTAGGGGATCCAGCTAACCAAACGATAATAGTTGACAACTATTCTCATAATCAATTATTATCGATTAGTTGGTTGGAGCCTTCCCTAGGTGTTCCCTGCCAGTTGCATACAACCACCATGCATATAATATACCACCTATGTGGTATCGGACTGTCATCGGACTGTCTCATCCAAGTCTGTACCGTTGCCAGCTACAAATTCGTCTTGACACAACCTCTTTAAGCTGGCTCTCTCTGTGAAAAGGTTAGATGTATCAATCATTTCAGTAGGATTTAGCAGATCAGAATCTTAACAAGGTATAAGAATTATTTTTCTGTTTTGGTTTCCCAACGTCGTGCAATCTGTTACTCAAAATGTGGCTTTCTGTCAGGATGTAAGGGAGCTGAAGCTAAGATACTAATGCCTTTTATTTATCATTGCAGGAAACACTGTCACCTCTGCTTCTATTTCTAGTCCAAAGAATGGATTTTCTGGAGATCAAAACACTTGTATCAATCTTGTGCAGGTAAATTTTGTTATGCTAACAGCAGTGCACTCCCAATGGCACTGGGAAATTCTTTTGGAAATGATACAAAGCAACAGATTTTTCATAACTGGTGTATATAAACCTTTGTTGCCCATAGAAACCAAATTCCAGTTATATTACTGGTCCACCATGGTTGCTTAAATGTTTAATTGCTTTAGTCAACAGTTCCTAAACAGTTTTGTACATTCCTCAAAAATTCCAGCAGGCTATCGGGGGCTCCATCAGAGAAATGTTCCCTTACTTTCTGTAATGGTGACAACAGCATGAAAATCTCTGACAGAAATAAACACCTTTTCTTTCCGTAAAGTAAAGGAGTGGTAGCATCTCCCTCAACTTCTTAAAGTAGGATTAAACCCACACAACAAAATTACATTTTTCCCTTTTTGGTCCACCAAATCCAGTTTACCTATACAGTATTTTTCATCAATATATCTCTCAATTTTCCATCACTCCAGTGTCTAATGCACTGTTTTTCAAACTTTTTAACTTTAAAAGTATGAAAAATCTCGAGGCATCCCAGTCTAAAAAAGTAAATAATAAAAATGACATGTGGTCCCTCCAAAATCCACACTAGACTCTCATCTGAGATGCGGGTCTGGTACGGATTTTAAGGGGGGACCCCTTTCAAAAACATGGGATTTTTACATCAGAAGCACCCCATCACATTAGGAGCCCCCTTCACATCAGACCTCCCCTTTTCACATCAGATTTCATCCATACATCAGGAATCCCTATTCACATCAGAAGCACCCCTTTACATCATGGAAAGCCATGACGCTATGTGAAAATTTTGAGGCACCCCTGAGGAAGCCAGAAGGCATCCTGCTTGAGAAAGTCTGGTCTAATGTCACTCACTGCCTTGCAATGCCCATTTCACCAAACTTCCATTCAGTTAGCGAGCATGGTTGACATCACTGAAAGGTCACATGAGCAGTCATATGGCACTTGAAAAACTCTTGTGGTCTCTCCAAAAGCTGAACCCGACACTTATCTGAGATAGGCATCTGGTATGGGTTTTAAGGTGGGGGGGCCATTGCAATAATAAAAAAAGTGGGGTTCTGCTGTTTACATGAAGAGCCTCTTTGTTACATCAGAACACACTCTTTCACATCAGAGACCCCCCCCCCTTCACATTAGGTGCCCCTCCTTACACATTAGAGTCCCTCCTCTCATACTAAGAGCCCCCCTTCACATCAGAAGCCCTCTTCATTTACATCCGTGGCCTCCCTTCACATCAAGAGCCCCTCTTCACATCAGGAACCCTCTTCCCATCAGATGGTCCTCTTTTACATCAGACACCCCCTTTACATCAGAGCTTCCCTTTCATAACAACATCCCGCCTTTCACATCAGAAACCCTCTTCACATCAGAAGCCCCCTTTCACATTTGGAGCCCTCCTTACATTAGAAGCCCTCCTATCACTTTAGGAGCCCTCCTTAGATCAAGGAGCCCCCCTTTACATCAGAGACTCCTTTTTATAACGGTGTTCCCTTTTTCACATCAGAGTCTCCCCTTTCACATCAGAACTTGCCTTCACATCAGAAGCTCCTTCATATCAGGAGCTCCCTCAAATCAGGAGCTCCTTCACATCAGAAGGTCAGCAGAGTCACGAAAAATAGTGTTCCCATTGGAATTTCCCACCTGTTCTGGTTCTGGGGAAAACCCAAAATGTAAGATTTTAGACAATAAAAACCTGACCTGTTGTAATCCCTCTACACTCTATCTAAAACTGAAAAGGGTTTTGGCTTCAGTTGCACCTTAAAGGGCATGAAGCCCTTCTGAGACCATTCAGAATTAATAAAGAATGCTTTAAGTGGGTTTTGCATTCCCGTAGACCTGGGCAGGAATGCACAGTCCATCTGACATGAATGAGAGGCACAGGCCATAACAGTTCTTGGTATTATAAACTATCAGGTACCTGGCAGGAGACTGGTTGGATGAGGAGGCTCCCCTTGCACCTTGTGTCCCCCAAACTCTAAGGATGGGAACAGAGCCTGAGAAACAGCAAGTAGCACGGGTGCCAGTGGATGGGGCAACACCCTGCCAGACAGAAGTCCAGAATCAGGATCGGGTAGAGCAGAGCCGAGGTAACACAAGGCGAACAGCAGGGTACCAGAGCAGTAGGAAGAATCGAGGTCAGACAAGCCAGGGGTAACACCAGTCGGGCAGCAAAGTACAAGGGATGAGGCAAGGTCAAGTAACAATTCCAAGGTCAGAAGGCAGGCAGCAACCAGGAGCAGTGAGGATCAATCCGGGTCAAGATACAGGCTCAGTAAACAGGCAGATCAAACAGGATCACAGGGACAAGCTGAAAGACCATCCAGCAACTAAGCCCAGGCTGTGCTTGCTTTAAATAGGGTGAAATAGTTACTGCATTTCTTTCTGTGCGCCAGATTAGCGCGCCTGTGCGCGTATGTCCCGATGCGCACGAATGTGCGCAAGTGCCCGTTTTCCTATGGTACAAAAAATGGGACCACGCACATGCGCAGTAGACCTGGTTACTTTACAGTTGGTTACCATAAGAAACTACACTTTGTTGTGAATTAGTAAATAAGCCTGTTTCTGTATGTATAGAGAATAATATGTGTACCTTTTCCTTTACTTCTACAGCATCTTGTACAGCCCTGCTGTTAATGGTGATGGAAAGGATGGAGAGATTCTTCCTCCAACAATTCAGAAACTAATGAAAGGATACAACAAATACCTGCGCCCTTTTTTTGACAGTGAGTATTGAATGTTATCCAGAGTACAGTGTTCAGAAGTGTGTTCATGGAATGCAGTGGGGCTCCAAAAGCAGAGGTGATGACCAGGTGTCAAATCAACCTTTAGGTGTCCTAAATGACATCACACATTGCCGTGCATTCACCTATTCATTAATTTGGAATAAATTAAAGGGTTTCTAAACCCTCCATTTTTTGCATATATCTACTGCTAGCAAGCTAGCTGCAATGTATCTGTGGCAGTGGCGGAACTACCACCATAGCGACCGTTACGGCCCACGGCACTGGGCCGAAAAAAAATTGGATGACGGAGGATCGAGCGGCAGGCGGGGAGGAGAGCGGAGCCGCTGTCCTCCTGTCAGTTTCAGGATGACAGTGGCTGTGTACGTGGCCCAGCGAGGATTGCTAAGTATCATTGATATTTACCGATCCTCCGTGTGCAGCACAAACACTGGAGTGATCGTCTGATCACTCCAGTGTTTGTAAATAACTGGGGACACATAGTACTATGTGTCCCCAGTTATGAATGAACAGGAGGTGATTTACATCACCTCCTGTTCATTCATGAATTTCTCAATGGGGAGAAGCACTCAGTACAGAGTAAATATCTTACTATCAGCAGTTTGTGAATGAATGGGAAGCCTCTGTACTGAGTTCTCCCCATTCACTGAGTGCAGAGGCTGCAGAAAACACATTGAGGACTTTGTGTCCTCTATGGCTTTTTCTATTTCAAAAGGGAAATGTCAGGGGTCGGTTTAGACCCCTAATATTTCCCTGAAGCCCCCCAACAGTAAAATAATAATAAATAATAATTAAAAAATAAATTAAAAATATGTAAAAAAAAAAAAAGCACAAACACCCCCCCCCCTTCCCCACACACACACATAACATACACGTGCATCATACTGTGGTGTACACCAGGCTGCAGTGCATTGCCAGAACGCATCGCAGTGCATGATTTTTACATATCAAGTAAAGCAAAATGATCTTTGAAATATATTAAAAATATAGACTTCTTTGTGTTTGTTACAGATCACTGAAAATGTCTGTAAAAATGAAACATGCTTTGGTAGGTTGCATTAGTATTTTATTGGACAGAAAAATATTTATGGGACTCTTAATGTTGCCGTAATTCTACATCACTGCGGTGCACAGTGTGACTTATTGGTTGGCTGGATTTATGCAATTGGATATAATGCACCTAGATACCTTTTTGTTGCAGGGTCTAATTGTTCCAACAAGCATAAAAGTGGAGAGCTCTCATTTCCTCGCAAAACCTCTTAACTGTAGAATTGTCAAGTGACATGTGAGTTAAAAGAGAACTAAGGGGTAAGTGTTTTTCCCCAGAGTTCTCTTTCGGGTCACAGGAGGACTTATACTAACCTCCTCCCATGAACCAAAGCTCAGTATGCCCGCGATATACTGGGAGAGCCACAGCCAGGACGGATCCTGACAATACTGTTGAGATCCACCCAGCTGCGTAAGTGACAGCTGGCTCTGCATATCTAGAAGTAGCCACCCTCCAGAAGGAAGGGCAGTGTCAGCATCAATTCAGAGATGATTTGAGGATCTACAGCTGAGTGATACACAAAGATACATTTTTGGTAATAGTTAAGGTACTTGAATGCATTTTTAAGATTTAACTGCTGAGTTTAGTGTCACTTTAAAAACGGAATATGGCATATGACTATTTTATATCTACATATTCAACCAACAGGTTGAGTTCTAGGCTCCCTTTTTCATGTTTTCTAGGCTATTCTTAACTCCTGTGCTGAAAATAAATCTGTCTTTACACAGCTAAATAACAAAAATTTACATTTAAGCACATAAATAAATAAATTAGAGAAGCAACCTCTAACCTTCTACTGTTCTGTTCGAGTCTATATGACGTTTCAATTAGAGACAGAGAGTTTCCGTGACACCAGAGGCATGAATGCACCCAGTTATACATGTTTATTTGTCAACTAAATATTTCATATAACTATATATATTTTATATAAACGAAAAGGGTACAAAACATCGGTTTAAAATACAATAATAAAAAGGATTTAGTAAGAGAAAGAATAAAATAAACTGACCCCTAACCATTATTGTGCTAGTACTTAGTGGCTGATTCATACACATTTCACACAGCTCCTCGTTGTGCTAATGAGTTTCAAAGTGCTGCATGGCCACGCAGCATAGGAATTTTTGAACCTATCCCCAAACTAAATCTTAACACAAAACTAGCCCTTAGTTCTCTGCCCTCACCTTGACTGAACTGTGAGCAGTTATGCTGAATCCTCGCAGTTATGCTGAATCCTCGCAGTTATGCTGAATCCTCGCAGCTCTGAACTTTACTGGAGCCAAGCTGACAACTCCGGTAACTACTCATCCAGATATCTCAGGTGGTGTACTGATGATGAAGGGAATGTAATATAAAGGAGTCTAAGACTGAGCTTGTGCGTGCCTGGTAAATTGGTTTTAGAGACTGAATATCTCCCTCAACTCATAAAACAGCAACTGTAATACATTGCTCCCGTTAGTGAGAATGGACTGTGTTTATAATTTAGACAAGGAGGTCACATCTTTTATTCTAAGTGGGTAGCACTTCTTCAATCTTTCCTTACTGATGTGTGTTATAATATCTTCTGTGAGGTATTAGAGAGATGTTAGAGCATATGTAAACCCAATCTTTAAAAAAATTGAATTTCAAGTAACCTTTTCAGGTTTCTCAAGTGAAATTTCAAGTTTGTGCACCTAACAAAAAGCAAAACTTAATCTAGACACCCCCTACTTTGCAGTAAATGTCTTGCCCTTTAAAAAAAATTAAGTTTCTAGCACAAAATAAGCAGCGCTGAGATGCACCAAAGGATGAAAAAAGGTGAAAACAAAATGGAAATTGATACAATGTGCTTTAGCAAACTAGTTGTCATTCACTTAGGATTTACATCTCATTCAAAGTAGATATACAGCATATAGCCAAACATTGGATAGAGTAGGGAAAAGTTAAAACTCACGGCAATTTATTTTTAGTTATCTTTGTGCCATTGGAAAAATTTCCCTTAATTTACTGTTAGATGGACACTATGGGAATTAAGAGGAAATCTCGCACATTGAGGAGGCGTCACCTCCTAGACAGTTGTCCTAAGAACAGGTGTCCCCATTGGAAGATTTCCTCTTGTTCTGGGAACAACCCTATCATTTTGAATTTTCCAGTTGACAGTGATCACCAGTAGTTAAAGTACTTGAATGCATTTTTGAGATTTAATTTCTGTGAGTTTAGTGTCACTTTAACCACTTGCCGTCCGCCCGTAGTAAAAAAACGGACGGACGGCACTGCAGCATTTGCGGGTTGCCGTCTCCAGACGGCAATTTTTTTCTGCTCACGCGCGCCCTAGCGGGTTAAATTAGAGGAAGTAATTTTTTTTACTGTTTACATTTTAATATATGTATAAAATTAGACTTATTACTTTACTTTTTTCCCCATATATACTTCAAATTCAATATGTGCAAAAATGTTTCTTATAAATATTTTAGTTTTGTGAGTCTTATTTAGCAGATGTGGATACGTATTTCTTCTTGCCATAAAGAGGGGTTATTAATACTTGTCAAGTATTATTGTATTTCATGTGATGTTCTTTTCTTTACGATTACTTTTTTGTATTTTTGTTTCTTAATTTTTTTCCCCAGTGTTGAAAATTCAGTAAAATATCACTAATGCAGTCTTATCTGTAATTGTATACTTTAAGGCATGTAATTAAAAAAAAAAAACTAAAGTCAGACATTATGTTGGAATTTGAAAAATAACTCCAGTATGAGCTGAGGTATCTTTAGCAGCAACAGAAAAATAGGTTTAGTTCATTATAGCTGATCAGCTTTGTTCTTAGCTGTCAGCTGGAGCTCATAAAGCATGAATGGTTTTGTAATGCGTTAATGCTTAGCAGTAGATTATGAAATAATTGCAACAGAGGTTTAAAAGTAAATTTAGAATTGTTTATATATGTACAGTATGTGGACTTTTCAATGTTTTTCCAGATAATTATGTACAGTAAATAATATACATTGCCTTGACAAAAAAAAAAGTCACCACCTGGATTTAGCTAAGCAAATAGGTCAGAACCTTCAATTGGATAATAGGTCTAGGTTCAGCAACATTATGTGCCTAAAAAATGAGGTCTGTTGCTTACCTGAATATAACAAATGACAAGGTTTTTACATCAATAGATTGTTTTTTTTCACTGATGCCACGGGCATATTCCAAGATGACAATGACAGGCTTCATCAAGCTCAAATTGTGAAAGAGTGGTTCAGGGAGCACGAGAAATCATTTTCATACATGGATTGGCCACCTCAGAGTCCAGACCTTAAGCTCATTGAGAATCCTTGGGATGTGCTGGAGAAGACACGAAGTGGTCCGACTCTCCAATCATCACTACAAGGTGTTGGTGAAGAAAGGATGCCACAGTGAATACATGCTGTAATCAAAGCTGATTACAGCATGTATTTTGGACAGGCAGTGTAATATAATATAAACACACTGTATTTGTTATAAAAAATCCTGGTTCCTGTGTATAAAATGTATTTATATATGTACATAAACACAGACATATTTGTTGATCACATGTTCAGACTCTTCTTCCTACTTTGAAGTGCTCTGTTTTACCACTCTATTAGTAAAAGCAAGTGCATGAGTCTGCCGATGCATTGACAACAAGTTGTTACCCTATATGGCTGATATGCTTTCTCAATGGCTGTTTGTCAGTTAGTCCCAATTCACACTGGAGAAATTTGAAGTATGTTTCCAGAAACACTTGACACACAGGTTTCCATGTTATCCTATTGTGCCCATTCACATCTAAGCAATGTGTTGTGGCTCAATGTTTAGCTGGAGCTTCTTTGGGGCATGATTGTGCATCTTTGGCCCCAATAGATTTCAATTGGAGCATCTGAAAAATGCCTGAAAAACTTTGGCACCTAACAGCTGTCTCCTTCTAGTAACTATCTTTACATTGGCTTAAACA